AAAATAACATTGTACCTTGCAAATCAATAGCGGGTACATTTTACCCGTTGGCGGTTTTAGGTATACAGCGACCTCTGGCGGTTCTAGTGTTAAGGAATAATGTTTATAATAAATACATTTGTATTGATTTTAAGATATTTTCATAGTTCATACAATCTTTGGGATCATTTGTATTAATGTGGACCGGAGGGAGAGGGTGACGAGCATAAGTTTCACTTTCATTTTTTATTTCAATTCCAATTTTGGTCATGAAGAATATGTTTCTCTGTTGTTCATAAAGCATAAAGCAACAGCATCAGAGCACGGTGCAGAGTCTCTAGATGAGTCCGTCGTTCTTATTAAACATCCATGTTGTAGTCCGTTGTATAGAAAACTGTAGTTTCCATAGTTTCCCCACAGCAGCAGACGCACAAAATGACGTCCGCTGGCGCATCATAAACACGTCGGATAGTGAAAGTGCATTTGGATTCTCTAAAGTACCGCAGTCTCTTCTCCTAAGTCCTTTTGAATTCTCCTATCCACTATCCCTTAACCCCGTGACGTTTCACTCAGAGGTCAAGGAATAGGAGATAGGGTTAGAACTTAGGAGCTGATTTTTAAACTATCCGAACGCAACCTTGGTTAAAAAGAACACAATGGTGCTCCAGGAGGAGATTCATGTGATAAGGTGGGGGGGGGGGTTACATTGGTTGGTGATTGGCTAATGGTTACACAAGCCAAAAAATCGTTATGACATCATGAAGTGGCCAAAATCAGGTTTTTATATAAATGGATCAGGACACAAAGTGAGCAAATCTTTGTTCATGAAACTTTCAGAGTCTCTTTACACAGAGGGGACACATGTTGATGTAGAAAAGGCATGAAAAAGTGGATTTTGCATAATAGGTGACCTTTAACTCACACTGCATCACATTCCTGCATGAGATTTGAGACCCTTTTGTATGTTTACATATTTGTACAGCTACTCAGAGATACAACATTAGATAATCAGAGTGTTTATGATTTTTCTAAGTTATATAGAATCTGTATTGAGACCTGTTAACGGTAGGTCCGATGCGGAACAGGCCAGACGGAGCCAGGTTCTCCAGGACGGTGATGAGTATTTGGAGTTGGTCCCCCATCCGAGCCCCTCCTGTTGGGCTGAACAGAGTCACTGTGAAAGTTTCATTTGCTTCAGGCTCAGCGTCCAGGACTGCCCAGATCTCCAGCATCTGGAATAATATCAATCAATCAATCAATCAAAGTATATTTACATAGCCCAATCAATAAAAAACTACATATTTGTCTCAGGGGGTTCTACAGTGTTACAACTCTGTCCTTAGACTCTCGCAGCCTAAAGGGAAAACCCCCCAAAAAAAAAATGAAAGAAACTTTGGGGATCTTTTTCCAGTATTGAATTGTGCAATAGATGTCTTGCGTAAAGATAAAATAATAGACGATCATAAATAAAAAATGCGAGTGTATTTATAAAAAATATGGATCCAGTTGGTTGTCAACAATCTTCCAGGTACGGCCAAAAGTAATAACACTCTACATGTGTTTGAATGCTGTAAAGCAACTAAAAATCTACTTCTCCCTCACCTTAAACCTGACTCCGTCCTCCAGCACCACAAAGCCCTGTGCTGGCCTCAGGTCTCCCTCTGCCAGGCTGCCGTTGGCATCAGTGATGCTGAACTGAACCGTCACGGGGCCGAACGTGCCCTCCGCTGGGTTCCTGATCACGATCAGGGTGGCCACGCTCTCACTCAGCCCCGACACAGACGTGGGCTCCTTCAACAGGAAGTGCTCGCTGGTGTTGAAGGAAATGACGCCATGCCCATCGTCACTGGCCAGGATATTCACAGTGGCTTTAAGAAAACAGAAAGATGTAGTTAAAGACAGAGGTGGGAAGTAGTGGAATACAAATACTTTGTTACTGTACTGGTATCAGAACTTTACTCCACAACTTATTTTTCTGACGACTTTTACTTCTTACATTTTCCAAACAGGCTGGTTCCTTTAGTTTGAATGTGTGTTTGGTGGCGTGATCATTATTATTTAGAGTCATTGCGTGCCTATTGATTTGAACACGATCCGTGTATCCATCATTTCCTGGTCTTCTCTAAAAAAGAGGGACCAATGAAAACGTTGTCATGTTGCCGTTGTTCAGCATGGAAACATTCATTAGCTAACAATGACATTATTGTTCTATTAATATAAAGGGAGGTCAGGTACTCTTTAAAACAGCTGCTAGTTATGGGTACTTTTTACTTAAGTACATTTCAAAGCCCATACTTCTTTACTTTTACTTGAGTAAAGAAGTTTAGTCAGTGCTTTTTTAAATGGAGTATTTTTAAACACTGTACTTCTACTTGAGTAAAGGATGTGTGTACTTTTGCCATCTCCGGTTAAAGATAATAATATCATAGTTACGTACAGTTGTTCTTTTAAACAGGTTGATACAGGTTGTTAAAAAACCAAACAATTCTATAAAACCTTCCTTATACTCTCACATATGTATAATGTATTTGCCTCCTTACTCTCTGAACCCCTTGATCATTCATCGACAGTAGTTTATTTGAACTAAATATGCACTGGAAGCATATGTGTTGCTGTTTGATGCTGTTGTCTTCATGTTTCAGAGATGATGTTGTACTGTATCCTCCCCTCCTGTACCTGTGGTGTTGGTGCCCAGCTCCAGCCCGGGGGAGGGCTGGGACAGGATGAGCTGGAATCTCTCAGCTCCCTCAGGAACAGCGTCATCGATAATCTGCACTTCTACAAACTTATGCCTTTCACCGTCAACAAAGTGGAGCATCTGTGTGGACAGAGGGGTTTCGGTTTAAACACTTTGTGAAGACTATCATTAATCCAGGCCAAGGGCTCATTCTAAGGAAATGTCACTTGATTTAGATCCAAAATACTTGAGAGGCAGAACCACTTCAAGAAGGTTCAACTTTCTTGACTAAGCCCATCTGGATATGCATGCTACCTCAATATGATGTGCTGTGCATTTTGTGGGTTATAGTATGTTTAAATACTGTGCACAGCAGACCGTTTCGCTGGTGTTGTAGTCCAATCCCTGTTGAGCTTCCAGGTTCTGAGCGTAGAAGAAGAGAGAGACATTCCCATATGTCCCCTTGTTCCTGTAGGCCACTAGGCTCAGTACTCCCATCGTTTCATTCACTTGAAACCTGGAAAGAAGCATATTAAGAGGAAAGAACTATTAGGGCATGTACAAATAATACAAGAAATGTATTATTTGATTGTACTTACATGGTGTTCGTCCATTCAATGACTCCTCTAATTCCATCATTAGCAGCGATGCTAACCTCTGCTACCAAACCCTGAGTGTCTGCGGAAAATACATTATAAAAGAGGAAAGATGTTAAATGTTAATTATGACTGTATAGATACTTTATTATTAGCATCAGCGCCTTATTATGGCTGCAACTACCGTCAGCGCAATATGTGCTGGAGGAAATTCTAGAGGAACTAACTTCTGTCACGGCACATTGGAGCGAAGGATTACAGCTAAGAAGCGTCTCCTGTAAGTGGCTTGGAAAGCAGAGCAGCCAAGTCTTTAGGGTGGACTGATTTATGACCCCCTGAATAGTCTTCTTCCAGTCACTCTATGGCCGAGACACTGGGAGGCCAGCGCCGGGTTTAGTTTGGCTCTCTCCCTCCTCACCACACAGTGCTACTCGGCTCCCACCAAATCCCTCGGCTTCCTCAATCATGGAAAGCATCAATCCCGCCATCCAAGCCACATAATGACTGCTGCCAGAAGAGCGGCCGTGTGTTTACCGAGTGTCTCTACGCAGAGGCTGATAGTATTCTGGGAGCCTGCTGCTGTATTCTGTCCACTCATCACTTTCTGAAGTAACACATTCATATTGTGGAGTGCGGTTTGGAAAGTGCAAAAGCAGTAGGAGAAACTACAAAGCTCTTTTTACGATGCATTTTGACATTAACTAAAATATTGCATTTTAATGGACCATGTAGGGGGATTTTACATTAAACTACATGAGATTTTAGGCAAAGCTTCAAACATATGAATGTGTGTTTTACCTGGCAATGTGCAATATACAACCTCTAATCATCAAATAGAGCAAACGGAGAGAAATTATGAAAAGAAAGAAGGAAATAGATTTTATAAAATGATGAAAAATTGTGAAATACATCAGAAAAAAAGTGACACAAATGGAACAAATGATTGAAAGAATTGTACATGTAATTTGACACTATAATAACACAACTGTCTACTATGACCAATAGCAATCATAGGCATTTTCTAACAACAGATTGCGAAATTGCTTCATACCTAGTTGGGGAACAGTGGCAAGAGTCGTGATTACTGCTGATGTTATGTTCACCAGGAAGAACTCCTGCAGCTCAGGGATGTCGTCCTAAAAAACAAATATAAAAAGTTTTAAAATTCCACATCCAAACAAATCTGCTTTAAGGAAATAGTGCTTGGATCAGAGCTCTACCTCCAGTATGGTGACAGGGATGGCGACAGAAGTCTGTCCCTCCTGAAGGATAACAGAACCAGCACCAGAGATGAAGTCCTGTCCCGGGTCAGCGAGCGCCCCCTCCACCTGGGACAAGTCTTGTAGAGACCCTCTGAGAACTTCATAGGTGATATTCACAGCTCCTGTACCACAGATTTAGGTATGATATTAGTAAATAAATAAAGAATGGAATAAAGTATTTATCAGCTATCCAATACATTTTCACACTTCGCCCCACTGACCTGAGGATCCAAACTCTCTGTTGACGTAGATGTTTATAGTTCTGTCCCGTTCCTCGGTGGTCACCCTGAGCGATGAGGGGGCGATGGTCAGCAGACCGTAGGGCTCATCGCTGGTGTCCACAGAGAGCACCGCCTCCCTGCCCTGAACATCCAGAGCTGCATGACCTGTCACCACGACACCTGTGTGGAGGTCGGGGGAATGTTAATCTGGGTAAAAAGTCTGAGTATTTTGAGGCATTTCTGGGTTCATGCAAAAGTATCGACCATGCAGAGAGCAGATGCATTACCGAACGTTTGGATGTTGGACAAGACGACTTTGTATTCATCTTTGTCCTCTGGTGTGGCGTCATCAAGAAGCTGCAGGACTATGGTGTTATTTAGCTCTCCCTGCAGGAGACATACATAATTAATGCAGGATCAAATAAAATATAGCTTTACTGTCTCAATTACATATTTTCCTTTAAATTCTGTGTGATACCTTCAACCACCCTCACAGAAAAACAACAATAACAACAACTTGCTGATTGTTGCCAAAGTCTGCATCTTCATACTCTGCAATAAATGTGTTTTACCATAATCCCACATTCAATGATCTCTCTCTTAAATGTACCTCTGTGAAGAAGAGTGTCCCTGAGTTCTGGGTGAAGGTCCGTTGCACAAGAGGCCCTTGTAGAGTCCAGTCCACAGTGACATTACCCAAACCTGGAGATGTTCTCAACACCAATAAGGAGAGCCTCTCACCTGTAATGTGAAATATAAGTTATTTAGGGAGCATTAAAGTGAATTCTTATAATGTAGGTACCCGTGTTCAAGTTCTCTAATTGTATGGATTACACTCAGGGAGACTTCAATGGCTCATGCATAAATCATTTTAAGATGATGACAGACGACCACAGAGAACCACCTGTTGCTACATGCTGCCATTACTATGAGAGCATTCCCTTACGCTAGCACTCATACATAATTAGGACACATCTCTTGTGAAAGTGACAGTGGAGAGGGTTTGAAATGTGCTGGGGGATACATGGTTAATATTAAGTAGCGATACAAACAGGCAAATCATAGAAAACTACTTCCCACCTTCTCTGGCAATGACAGAACGTGAGGCTGGATGAAATCCCACTATTCCGGCCACATTATCGTTAGCCAGTATCACTATGGTTACAGTGTCGGAGCTGGGCAGGATGCGACTTCCTCCTTCCGTATTCACAAGACCAATCATGAGGCTCTCGTTGTCCTCTGGCTCAATGTCATCTCTGATTAATACCTGTATTGTCTTCTTCACATCACCTGTGGGCAGAGACAGTAAATAAGATGTTTCATTCTGGGAAGATTTTGGAGAATTTAAAAAACGAATCAGTGTTAGATCCACACACCGTCAAAGACCAGAGTCCCTCCTGTCCCGGTGAAGTCAGCGTCTGGTGTGGCCTCCCCTCCAACATACCTCCACTCGACGGTGACGGTGCCCAGGTTCCCTCCTCTCCTCTCGATTACCAGGGGCACCACAACCCCAGGCTCTTCTCTGACCTCTAGATAGAGCCCGTCGTTGGTGGTGTTGGGGCTGAGGCTGTATATCAGAAACACCCCGAACGCATCTCCATTCATCCCTATAGTGACCACCGCCTGGTCTGGCTGGCCGATGGAGGGCAGGTTCTTCTGAGCCACGGTCAGATTAATCAACTCCACCTTTAAACAATACATGACAAAACAATGTGTTAAACAGTGGAAATACAATGCATGTGAAAAAATGAATTATTATTAATGAACAGAAATAGGGTGGTGCAGGAATGAGTCTTAAAACCCTGAATGTCAGCATTTGACCACTTGCCAAAAGAAAGGTATGTTATTAACACAGGCTTAACATGTTTTCATGTTTTGTACTATGGCATGAAATACGTCATTAAATACCCCACTGGTGAATTTCTGAAGATGATATGTTAAAACAGCAGTTGCTCACAAGTTATTAAGGTAAGACTACTAAACAACATCACAACAGACATTGGCTGCCTTTAGCTTAGCGGCAGTGACTTAAAGTCATGTGACCTTGATTTAGTTTGTTTACTGCCTAAAAGTTAGCTTTTTACTTCTGGTGATTGCATTTACTCTTAAAACATCATAACAATTGGTGTTAACATGTGGAAATTAACCTGTGGCACAAAACATCATAAATGTTTCTTTGCCACATACGCATCTTACTTTCTGCAATATTTCAGAATCCAACAGAAAAATCCTATTGCTTTTTGTCTCTTGTGATGCTAACTTTGGGTTTAGCCTACAAAAATATGCCATCACTGCACCACTCTATATATGTAAACAAATATTGTTTTTTACCTTTAAGATCTGAATGAGGAAGCTCTCATCCATTTCAGGGAACTTATCAGTCAGGATTGGGACGGTGAGGTTGGCGACCCCCGACCTGTCTTCCATGAAGGCACTTTGAGCGGTAACGGGGGTGTAATCACTCCCCGCCACAGCCTGGGCACTGAACAGCACAGCAGCTGCAGTGAGGTTTTTTACATACGTCAAAACCTGAGGGTTAGAGGTCAGCTGGTCAAACCCTGCAGTCACCCAGGTGCAGGAGGGCGGGCTCCCCCCTGAAGAGAGAGAGAAGGCCTGGCAGGCAGCCTCTCTCAGACAGGCAGCAGCACATGAAGCCAGAGGGTCCGTCTGACCGGTGACGTTTACCGTCCGGAGGGGGGGGGAGGATGGAGATCCAGGTTTTGGGACGTCATAGTACGTTAGCAGATCCTGGCCGTCCGCCTGAGCCATGTCAACTATGTCGATCTCAGAGGTTCTGTACACGATCTCCAGGCGGCCAAAGTGACCACCACTGGAATAAAGGCAAGGAGGATGATAGTGAAAAGACAGCGGAGAAGAAAAGTGGGTTTAATGTGAGTGAAAATACACAAAAGAAAACCCATTATTTTGACCTTTAAAAAAATAATTTGCAACACCCTCTGAATCATACTAGCATCTCTACCTTCCAAACACACACTCACAATTTCATTTTTTACTTTTTAAAGTATTTTGTAGTATTCTTTGCTTAATTATTGTTTTTATTTATTTTTTCTCTTGCCTTCTTTTATATTTTGTACACACTATGTGGATTTAGCTGAGAACAAATGTTTTCTTTTTATTAAAGTAAGCAAAAGTATGAACATTTTTGTATAAGTTTTGGAAAAATGAAATAAAAGGTGAGTTAAATTGAGAAAAAAGTACCTTCTGCGGACAGTAACATTGGCATTATAAACGCCCTCCAGTGGCTCCTGGAGGCGGTATCCAGACTGTTCAAAGTACACCGTCCCGTACGGGTTGTCATTTTCAGGCACTATTATGTCAACAGATGTATCGGCTCCAAGGCTTCCTCCATTACTGGCATCAGTCAGCTCCACCTTAATTATCTAGAAAAGACAGAAAAAGTGTAATAAAGATTGACCATACATATTTCCAATGATGTACAAATTCATGGTCAGCTTCATACCTCAGTGATTTCAGGTACATCATCCGCTAAAACCTCCACACTGAGCGTCTTCATGGTCTCTCCTGGAGCGAATGTCACCTCTCCTGATGTGGGTGTGATGTCCCCCACTGCTAGTTTACCATTAACCGTGGCCTGCCATTGGACTACCACTGTGCCAATAGTACCAGCATTACGCACTATAGGCAACGTGACTTCAATGGAGTTAGACCCTGGTTCCTCTATGGTCACTGGAACTGCTTGGAAGACTGGGTAGAAATAAAATAAAAAAACTGAGAAGTAGTCCAGAATAAGATGACAAGACTTAAACGTATCCTGGATAATGTCGACTAACCAAAGGCACCAAAAGGGTCGTCAGAAGGCAGTATGGTGATGATGGCACGTGTGAGCTCCCCCAGCAGAGCTCCTCCAGTGGTCTGGTTGATCAGCTCGATGAGAAAGGTCTCCTCCAGCTCAGGGACCATATCATTGATGACATAGACGGGGACCGATTTACTGGACTCCCCTTCTAGGAGGACCACATCAGTGGAGGCTACGCTGTAGTCTTCACCTGTAGTAATAATAATAATAATAATGCATGTCATATAATACACTTTAAAAATAACGTCATCTCAAGGTGCTTCAGAATGCTATGAGAAAAAAGTTATCTAAGAAGCATATTGAATAAAGTATGGTAATATAAGGTTAAGAGCATAAAAGGTTAGAATAACAACAATTAAATAAAGGTCAGTCACTAAAATGCGGTGCGGATAACACACACATTCAAATGGAATTGATTTAAATCCATGCCGAACACTTACTGACTCTGGCGGTCAAAGGCACTGCTCGGAATTTGACTGATACGTCAGCAAAAATCCCCCCAACACGAGTAACGTTTATTATGGGCCCAACGTAGTCCTCGGCCACACTGACAGCAGAAGCAGAAAGCTGCAGGACCCCAAACGCATCGTCGCTGGCCTCCACCACCACCTGGGCTATAATGTCAACCCGGGGTCCCAGAGAAGGGGAATTGGAAACTGGAAGGAAGAGCAATAGCATATTTGTCAGTGTAGTGTAGTTGAAGTATAATTATATCTGAAATGAATCGTCCGTATCTTACTGAGCCTCTCCTGCTCTCCTTCGATGAGTTGAACGCTGATCAACCTCACGAACACGGACTCGCCTCTTTCTGGATCCTCATCATCCAGCACTCGTAAGGTGATGTTTGCTTCACTCTGATTGGCTAAGAAAACAACCGAATCCAGAAGAGGAACAAAGTCCCGCCCCTCAGTGGCTCGACCCACCCCAGGGGTCCGGTAAGGTTCTGGATCTGTCTCTTTTAGAGTCCCATACGTGACTCGCACCTAGAAAAAATAAAAGAGGAAGATTAAGATATGTAGGGGTTCATCAAACCCGTCTATTTATTTATTAAAAGCTAAAGAAACAGACTCATAGGTGGCTTTAATTTAACTTCCTGTACCTGTCCCATCAGGCCTCTCTGTCGCAGGATGGTGAGGGTGACAGTTGTGTCAGCTTCGGGAATACGGACCGATCTTGTTGCATTGGCGAAAACAAAAACACCGTAAGGATCGTCGCTGGCGAGCACGGTCAGAGTGGCAGACGTCTGGACACCCAGGCGACCGTGGGAGACGTTGACCAAAGACACGTTGAAACTCTGGTCCAGCTCAGGGGTCTGATCCTGGGCCACTTCGATTATGATGTCCTCCGACGTCTGACCTACGCCGAAGGTGATGTTCCCAAAGCTGCTGAGCAACTCCCCCTCAGAGCTGGGATCAGCCTCCCAGAACACAGTGACGTTAGACAGGTCTCCAGAGGACCGATCCACCTGGGAGAGAGCACACAGAATCATAGCATGAAGATTAAAAAAGTTAAATTATATCTTGACTTTCTATAGCAAATATAGGTAAACATCTACATCTCTGAGATCTTACTGGATACCTTTACATGTTTAAAATGGTCATGACACTGACCTGCAGGACCACAGAGCTGCGTCCATCCTCAGGTTCTGTCCCGTTAACAGAAAGGGATTCAGGACTAAACTGAAACACTCCATGGGCGTCATCAGAAGCAGCGATGGTCACCGTGATGTGGGACGCAGCTCCTAAGCTGGCTACACACAAAATAGCAGATAAAACCCTGTGGTACTTGTTCGTGATACATTCTGGTTACAATTTCAAGTGTTTAATTTAAAGACATTGAAAAGGACCGGATGAGAGGGAATGAAAACATTACATTTATCAATCAAGCTGGGGATTACAATAGGAATTATAATACACACCTTCTTACTACCAAATACCAACGTTTTACCAGGAAACATCCAAAAAGTATTCACTCAACGAGTGGGGGGATAGAGTTCAAGGTGACAATTTCAATTCGGAATTCATAGGGTCCGTACAACCAGAAGAACTTTTTGTATCTCAGCCTGTGGAGTGAGACTATGGAACAGTGTGAACGTGGAGCTAAAGCGATGTCCAGACATTAACCAGTTCAAGAGGAAATACAGAAATTATTTTCTCGAGGTACAGGGATGGGGAAGGTGTTTGACTATGTGTATGTGTATATGTGTATATGTGTGAGTATGTAGGTGTGTATATGTATGTGTGCATATATGTATATCAGTGTATGTATGTGTATGTATATTTATATATGTCAATCAACAGCTAAAGCAGATTAATAATACTAATAACATCAATAATAATGCATAACAATGATAATTATTGCAGATTATAGATTATAAATAAATCATTTAGGGACAAGGGGGTGAGATTAAATAAGTTATACTTCTTCTCAGTCCTTTTCGAACACTAGATGTGGCACTGTTTATGTTGCTAATGCTGTTGTTGTTGTTGTTGTAAATGTCATTTTTTGTTTTGATTTCTCTTACATGACTATGCACTGCAACATTTGTTTTGTGGTTGTTTATTTTACTTGTTCGAAAACAAATGTATCAATCAATCAAAAATAAATAATAATAACTTATATAAAGTAATATAATGGTCAGAATATGTCACAGCAGCCCAACCTGGGTGTTAAACACCGGGGTCTCCACCACTTACCCTTTCTGCCTGTGAAAGGCTGTTTGCTTTTCCCACAGGCTACTCCTCACAGGGGTCACAGTACTATGTAATTACCACTCAAAGTTTAACACACATGCACCCACATACCTAGATGTGTATGGACACTTGAGGCTCTAATAGATAATAATTGCACAAAAAGTTTAAAGGACTTTTTTTGTATTAATAAAAAGCACAACAACGTTTTTCTCTCCCCTGTCTGCCTCATTGACGTTCCCTTTTCCTCCTCTTTGTCTTGTTATTTTAGATTTATTGTTATTATTTTCTTTTGTTCATTAAGTATTATTTATGTTATATTACTTACTTTTTGTTTATGTACTGTGAAAAAAGATAATCCAACATATTTTTCAAAGGACATATTCTGGCGAACTATGTCTTATAGTACACAGTCCAGAATTTCTGTCATAACGTTTTCCGAGGAGAGTATCCTAGCTATGGTGGTCAAAATCTATTATTCCAACCAGCCAAAAATATTACTATGAAAAGAATATCTTGTACGAGTGATTTGTTAGGTCATAAAACGGTCAAATTTAAAAGAATTAGGTATCAGACCAAAATATGGCTTGTCAGCAGCAGCTACATGTTACCTGATCACTAATAAAACTGGACTTGGACTAATGCAGCCTTAGGGAGTAAGAAATGATGTGGTTGTGGGGGTCAAGGAATGAAAACTAGAAGCAGTTTTGTGAAAAGGAAAAGGAGGGGGAAACTTACCACGGTGGAGATAGGATGGAAGCAAGAAGTCAGAGTCACTCTCCCCACTACCACTTCCTTCACTACGCAGAAACGGATCCACTGATGGATCACACACGAGGATCAAACAAGGTTCACACCAGGAGAGAATCACACCGAAGAGGAGGGCAAATGGGAAGGAGGGTCGAGTGGGTAGGTGGGTGTAGGGAAGCACACAGGAGCACAGCACACAAAAACAGCAGGGCACATCACAGGGTCAGTTAAAAAAATAAAAATAGAAGCTCTAAGGCTCAAAATGTAACTGAAACTAATGAAAACAGTTCTGTTGTGCTCGCGTCTCTCACCTCCTCCATCAGCGTTGTAGAGCTCCACTCTGAAAATCTTGTCCAGCTCAGGGACAGGATTGTCTACGATGGTCACGCTGATGAACTTTAACCTCTCTCCTGGAAGAAAGTCCAGCACGCCATCTGAGTCCTGGAATATAGAGGAGGGGGTAACCAACCAAGCAGGAGAACATGTATTACCTCTCCACCTGCTTATCATTGGCGTGTATTCTTCAGGACGATTAAAGACTTTACTGGAAACAAACTTCAAGATAATAAATACAATTAGTCTGTTTGGTAAAAAAAAAATACTTCAAGGGGTTATCTGAATATAAAAAATAACTTGCGAGCCAATTTCTTTTGGAAACAATGATTGACACAACATGAAATGGGACTTGATTAGCTGAAGTGTGGAGTGGGATTATATGGAAAAGTAAATAGGCTCTGCATCTCATACGTATTTGTTTTTTGGCTCTCCGGTGTATCAGACTGTTGACCTAGGACTTTTAAAAAGTGAAGGGACCCTATTAACAACCTATTTTTAGCTGGTATTGTCATCTTATCATTCTGTTATGTGTATCTTTAGCCTGTACTACTGATACATATTTAAAATATAACATGTAAAACCTCGTAGTCCTCGGGGCTGGACGCTGTGAATGGCGTTGTCCTGTATCCCACCATGACCCTTCCCAGAAGGCCTTGAGCTCTGGCCACCAGCAGACGGACGTCTCCATCTTCCTCTCTGACAGTAATGTGGGCCGGCTCTAACACTGGAGAGATCAGGCCCTCTCCTGGGGGGCTGGGCTGAAACTGCAGCAGGCCTGGAGTAAGAGAAGGGTTTGTTCATGAGTTAAATTGCGTCTTTAATATATGGAGATATTGTATGCATGCATACAAAAACGTTAATCTTAAAAAAAAGAAGAGAGACAGATTCAAGCTATATATCTGTATGCAGTCCTTGCTCAGGTACACACAGTCCCAGTGCAATAATATAATATTACAATGAATTGTAACTAAAAACTTAAATAACGTCAAGTTAATATTAAAACAATGGTTAAAAGATGATGGTAAAAAGAAAGGAAATTGGAGGGAATGTATTGAGAAGCAGGGGAAAGCTTTCCTGGAGGGCAGGGAGTTTAGAGTAATGCCCATAAGAGGGAGAAGGAGAGAGGGAACATGGTAATCATATCTAGCTGACCCAGTAAGCCACTTGTCTCAACCTAATCTTATGAATAGGGATCTGTTATGGCTAGAAATATCAGCATTCAAAGTACAACTAAATAGTTTTCTGGGCATGTGAGTGGATATTACCGTATGGGTGGTCGCTGGCGGTGACAGTGACAGTGTTAACGGAGCTGTTTGGGTCGATGCTGGCTCCGCTGGTGGGGGTGGAGCCATTCCTCCCGTCACTGGACTCTGCTGACACCAGAGTCACCTGGAAGGACTCTGCCAGCTCTGGGAGGTTATCATCCAACACCAACAGGTTCAGCACCTAACAGAGAGATGGGCATATATTAGGTTATTTTTTTAAACAAGACTGTACCCTTAAAAAATAAGTCGATATTTCAGCCGTCAAAGGGAAAGCTTCATTATCTGCTGGCACCTGTTGACTCATTAGGAAATTAACAACCAACCAACCACTAGGGGGGGCTGGTTGTCTAAAAACATTTGCATTTGGGACGCAAATCCTGCAGCTCAATAGACAATAATAGGATATTTAAATACAGCGCACACTAAATAACCCTGTGCACGTTGTGTGACCCTGGATAAACTCAGAGGTGTTTTTCCCAGCTCAAGATCACATTAACACAGGTCAAAGCGTTGAGTCCCTCACACACACACACAGTACACACACCTCAGAGCGCTGTCCAGGCATGAAAACCACCGCTCCAGAGGCATTTCCAAAGTCTTGATTGGCTGGCGTCTCACTGTCCGAGCTGTCCAGTTGGGTCACAGTGTAGTTGACATAAACGCGGTCCAGAGATCCCCGCATACGCTCGATCACACAGGACACAGTGGAGCCTTCCTCAGTGGTCTGTTAGGACAACAAAGGTATGAACATATAAATTAATTATGGACAGCAAGAACGAATTGATAAATTGTCCTACTAACTATGTTAACGACCCTGTCTAGCTAAGGGTTAAGGGCCTCAGAGGGTTGCTGGTTCAAACCCAAGACGGACAAAGTATGGAGTGTGGACTGGTACTTCAAGAGCATTACTGAGGCTCCCTTGAGAAAGGCAACAATGTCACTGCACCTGGACACTGTTTAATAGCTGCCCACTGCTCCTAACACATGGATGTGTTAAAAAACGAATTGCGATTATCTTAAATGATTTATTTATAAGCAATAAAATAAAATACAAAATATATTTAAACCTATCAGGGTGTGTTTTTTTTAATGCTTTCTGTATCAAACAAGTACTTTTTATTAAGTCTGGAAAATATCAGGACCTCTCTTCAGCACCACAATACCTACATCAGAAAACATATTTGACTTAAACAAATAATGTGTATACTGTGAATTTGATATTGCACTATTTTGCGATTTGTATGAAAATATGATTAATTGTGATACTCTATTAAGCTGTACTCTGCTCGCATACATAAGTGAATTCCTTTGAATTATCCACTTCCAGGTGATTTAGAGACGAAGCACCTGATAGCCCACATGCCTCCACGTCTATTTATCCCCAGAGGACATAAAGAAGACCCTCTGGTTCTGATGGAATGCCTCCCGGCCCTGCCACCTGTCGTCCGGATGGAAACGAGGAACCAGATCTCTCGTTTCCAGTGCTGGAACTCCTGATCCGCTCGTACAGGAATGCTCTGACTGACAGACCCGCTGCAGCCTCGCCAGCTGTCGCTCCACCTGAGACACGAGAGCCAACGCATCCAATCCAACTAAAAACAGAGAGCATCTCTCCCTGCAGCCAAGCATGCAGCCTGATGAAATATGCAGCAGGACAGGAACCGACAAACCAGCTGGGTTTACATTACATGTGTTTCTACTCTGTAGACACAACTGAGTGACGAAGAGAGATGCATAATTAATCAAAATGTTATCGAAATTGCAATATGGACTAGTGCAATATTCAAAGCACAGTCAATAATTAACAAAGGCAAAACAGGAGAACATATCTGAAGATGCTGCAGAAAAGTCCCAAACAATGTGTTATTCTTGAGTATTAATGAAAAATCCTTGTTTGGTACAGAGCCTAAAAACAAAAGTTACTTTTTTTTCCAAATCTTGCAATCCTAGTGGTGACATTAAGGAATATTAATAACATTGCAATGCCACTGTAATAGTAAGACGGCCCGTCCACACACAGGCATGAAAAAAATCTTTCAAAGCTTCGCCCATTCACTTGAATGGGGTGACGTAGAAGATTTTTAATCTTCGCCTAACTGCATTGTGGGGAGCGGAGTATGGCTTTGCAAGCATCGTGAGCATCAAAAGTTGAGCAATGTTCAACTTTTGATGTACCCGATGCTTTCGAAGCTGGCATGAGCCAATCAAATCCCGTTTATGCAAATCCCGCCATTACAAGCGCTAGCCAATCAAAGCGCGTGCAAGCTGGGAGAGCCAGACCGCAGTTCATTTCCTCATATTCCAAACGAGAAATTACGGTAGCAAATCACCCGGTTTTTTACGACCAGAACTATTTACCGGGATACAAACCGGAGGAACCAGGCATGGAGGGAGGTGGCAGAGACAGTGGGTGAAACTGGTAGGTTTTCGCCTGTTTGGGGATTTTATATCCAGTTTACTTCGTTTTAACATTGCTATTGCTTTGTATGTCGGGGGCGGGAGATTCATGTGATTGGTTGTTGGTCGCGTTGCTCGCAAAAAATCGCCACGCTTCAGACACGCCCAGCATCAAGATTTTTCAAGGTTTTTTTCATGCCTGTGTGTGGACGGGCCGTAAGGCTTATTCAAAAGAGTATAGTTATATTGATTATCAACATAGTTTACTTCAACAAAAGTGATATTTGCTGTGATTTGAGGTGCGTATGTTCCATAGTGTGCACTTACGTCAGGTATGCAGGCCCCGGTGAATCCGAACAGCCCGTTGGCATTGTCGCTCTTCATGACCCGCAGAGTAGCGATGGGTCTGGGCAGAGGGAGACGCGCTCCTCCCTGAACCCCCACCAGCAGCAGGTAGAACAGCTCCTCTCCCTCCTCCTCTTCATCATCCCGGACCTCCACCACAAAGGACTTCTGCCTCTCCTCCTGTCGGTAGCGCAGGTAACCGGAGAGGTTCCTCAGGTCTGTTTTGGCGGGCTGGGTGTGAAGCTCGTGGATGTGACTGCGGTTCAGTTTGGTTCTGTACAGGCGGACGTCCTGCAGAAGGCCTGTGTAACGCTGCTCTCCATCAGGGTCAGAGCCAATGAACACTGACGAGGGTCCTGGAGGGGAAAGTCACAGGGAAATACAAGTTTTAAAACCCTTGTATGGTATTCGGGTCTGTGGGACCCGTTTTCATTATTTAGCGAAAGAAAAATGATTATTGAAAATATTTTTTCAAACCCACACTCAATGGCCTTGGCTCATTTCCTGTGAAGAACATATATCAGAACACATTTTCAATGACCACCCACTGTACCCCCCCTACACATTTACATTACATACAGGGTGTTCAGGTGTGTGTGTGTGTGTGTGTGTGTGTGTGTGTGTGTGTGTGTGTGTGTGTGTGTGTGTCAGGTGTGATTCACATGGGGGGATTGAGCACATAAGGGGGGGGGACACATCTAGAGTGTGTGTGTGTGTGTGTGCGTGTTTTATCTGATCCGGATGGTTACTAATTCCTTTTCTTTATGGCGGTTTGACCGGGAACACCATGGGTGTTACAAAGTTGACTAAATCATCCAAAATGCAATGAAAGTGGTGATCAGCCATTTGATATGTTCAAATGTCTACTGTGAAGGATATCATGAAGCCTTAATGCAATCGAATGTAAAACTAAAAAGTTATGATTGATGAAAGTAGTAAGTCGTACAGATTTGACCTGAAGACAACAGGAGGGTTAAATGATATGGAGATTTCAAAGCAACATGAGGCAATGTTAAATAGCCTCATGTCTTCTCTGGACATGCACAGTTATATCAAGACAGGAGGAGAAACAGGGGCGAAAGGGAGAAGTTGTTAATAGATTTCAATTTTGTTGTCAAGGGACAAACGTATATGAAGGTAGGACACTGTCTGCCACCATTTTTTTTGACATGCTTCACAGAAGATAAACTTGTGCTAACCACTTGTTATATTATTATATACATATCATATTCTATTTACATGTATATAGACTTTTTGCACTACTTTTAATTTTTAATTTTATTATATATGTTGCATTGTTGGAGGAGCTCAGGTCATAAGATTTTCATTGCCATTTCTACACCGTAGCTTTGTGCATATGACAAGAAAACCGTTGAATTTGAATGAATAATGAGCCCACACTCACCAGTAGCATTGTAGAGAACGATGTAAAAGGGTTCATCGGTCTCCGGTGTGTCGTCATCTTCCACGGCCACAGAGACGTTCTTCATCCACTCCCCCTCCTCATACACCAGCAGCGTGCCATTACCCAACAAGGTGAGGTCACCTGGAGACGCATCTCCGTACTCCACACGGTACATCACCGTGGCAACAAAGTCTGCCCGCCCTGCCCTGAGAACAGTGAAGTTGGCCACGCCCCCTTCGCGAAGATGCACGACCACAGGTTCTGAGGAGAGGACGAGGCGTGGGAAGAAAGACAGGGAGATGAAAAAGGAGTAGATATAATATATCAGAATAGTATCACCTTCATGAACTGTATTCATAAGAGACCACTTACCAGAGAAGTAAATGGGGTCATCATTCTTATTAATCTGTAAACTGGCAGTGAGTATGTTTCCCAGTCTTGCACCACCTGTAGCATTTAACACTGTGATGGTGAAATTCTCCATGTCCTCTGGGATCTGGAATAAACAAAGTATGAAAATGACTGTGGGCATCTAACTCCAATTTGGATTGCATGCATTTTTTTATTTAGTGATAATTTTACCTCATCAGGAACAGAGAAGAGAGTGAGGTTTTTGAGGAACTCCCCCTCCATGAAGGTGATGTCTCCCTGGATCGGGCTCACGTCTCCGGACCAAGCTGGCTCCAAGACCCAGGACACCGACACCTCTCCAAAGTGACCCCTGTTCCTCACCACAGGGTACACCGCTGGAGGAGAATAAGTAGAAACAAAGATGTATTTATATTTCCAAACACTTTTACAGTCAACAACTCTTTTGTATGCATTTTTATTTTTATTTCGTACCACCTGTCAAGGCTTTTATTTTAAGTTAGAGCACAATAATAATGTGGTTTTCTGCAAATATTGGGGATACATTCACTAAAGGCTGAGTGAAGTGTTTTTGCTTCTTAATATTCTCAGGACCAGATCAATAATTGGACTGCATCATCCAATCAGTGGGGGTGTACAAGTTGACTGAATAACAATTTTTCTGCTTTAATGATCCATTACAATAACATAATTAGCTGTAAACACAAACTTAGATCATGTCTATCTCATCCCCCATGCAGAAAATGTTCTGTGTGTCACTTCAATAAGGTCAGTTTTAAATGTCAATGAGATAGTGCTTGACACTAAAAACTGTCATTATTATCTGAAGGATTGCTACTCTAAAGTACCTCGGTGAGTCTCGTCCCCTTTGCTCTCATTGATGGCCACCGTTAGTCCTGATTGGATGAACTCAATCACCCCAAAGGGGTCGTCATTCCTCCGCACTGTGATGTTGACCTCCCGCCGGTTGCCTAGGCGACTGGGTGGAGTGCTGTGGCTACTTAGCACCACAGAGAAAGTCTCGTCCAGCTGTATGCACACACACACACACACACACACACACACACACAGAGAAACACGTGAGGTTTAATGGAGAAAGCACAGGTTTAAGATGTAGGGGAATTCAGGTCATAGCAGCAGACTATGACTACTAATCCACTATAAGACTATTTTTTCACTATCTTTAAGTAATATTGACCACTTTTAGACTTGAAGGACCGAGTTTAGTAAGAAAAAAAAGTTAATAAATAAATGTGAGAGGTCATTATTGAATCGACCATATCCCTACCTCAGGCACCCCGTCAGGCCTCGCCACCAGCGCCACCACCACCTCTCTCTCTCCGGGTTTGAACTCCAGGATGCCCGTGGCGCCGTAGAACTCTGCGTTGTCTGAAGGCATGACGGCGTATCGCACCAGCTGTTTCAGCAGCTGGCCCTGGGCTCTGACCACGTGCAGCTCCACCGCCTCACCCTCCTAAGTACGTTAACAGATGTAAGCAGAAGACAGAGACAAGGGACACAATTATATGATATGGATTAGATGTAACATACACCTCACAGTAGCTGTTGTTATTAGATTAGAATAGTTTCAACTTGATTGTCATTGCACAGTACTGGGACAGCAAAATGCAGTTAGCATCTAACCAGAGGTGCAAAAAAAAACTAAAGTATATAGATCATGAATTATTTTTGCGCATACACATTAGTATAAATCTAGAATACATTTAAGAGCTGGTAGAAATAAAGATATTATAATGAAGACACTGTAGACTTAATAAGAATGAATCACTATGGACCGTTACTGACACTTTTATAATTAATAATATGAAAAATATGAGTACGCTTTACAAGCTAAAGCTGTGTGGACAGTTTGATATATTACATTTATATAGTAAGATATTTAAATTACAAAATATAGATTACATATTTTAGACTCACATTAATAAACCACGGGCCTCTGGACAGTGAGGAGAACTCAAAGACCCCCCCCGGGTCGTCGTTCTCCATGATGACAATCTCTCTGCTTGTGAAACCAGCCTTCAGGATCTGATTCTCAACATTACTCCTATAACACACACACACACACACACACACACACACACACACACACACACACACACACACACACACACACACACACACACACACACACACACACACACACACACGCATAAACAGCATGAAATCATAATAGTGTTAAAGTTGTGAGAAAAGAAAGAAAGAAAACTCTTATCTTTGACACAAGGTGTGTTGTGTGTGTCGTTTGTTCACACAGCTAGAAAACTCAACTAGAGAACCATTGGGAACGTTCCTATCAACACTATGTTTCCAAAATAGCACAATAACAATGTTTAACTGTTACTGTGTTAGAGTGAAGGTCAAACATCCCAGAAAAGGTGCAGAAGTTGGTTTCTAGTGTTTCACCACAGACAATGGTGAATTATGTCTCTGAAGTCGGTACAATAACTCCTACATTGTGCAGAAATTAAAGTTTTTTGGACTGGTTTTTTGGTTGTGTTTTGAGCTTCTGAAACATCAATATTTATGAAATGAGGTTAAACTAAGCTCTTTAACTTCAATCAGTGTTATGCATTCTTTACATTGTGTGATGCTTATTCATTATTGGCCCCATATGTAGAGGTCCTGCTGTTTAAACCACTTTTAATAACAATGTCAATCTCCGCCGGGCCTGCCTCTTTATTGCTCGATGGGGGTGTGTGCATGTGTGTGTGTATGTTGAGAAAATTGAAGCCAAGTAAGCATCACATAACGGGTAAATTAGAGACAAAGACATGACAGAATGCAGCACTCCAAACAAACGCTCACAGCCAAGGCGCTGCATGCATACAAACAACGTCTTTAAAGCGCTGCACAATCAGGCCTGGTTAAATTAGAGCGGAACACATAAAGAAGATTCTCTATTTACTCCCAACAACCACTCTCTTTTGGGTTCCCTTTTTTCACACCATCACTACCGACCCCCCCCCACCACCCCACCCTAAACCCCCCTCATCCCCACGTCAACCAAAGGGCCCAGAAATCCTGAAGTGGGCCCTTCTCTGAAAAACAAAGTCTTGATTCACGCCACACAAAAGGCCCAGGTTCATTCCACTCTCTACTTACCCGAAGTACACTATAAAGCGTGCAGTCTCCACCCTGCGGGGGAGGAGTGGGAGGGAGAGAGAGCTGCCGTTCTCATCAGAGCAACAGATGAACCCCCCCCCAAACCACAAACACACACATATCTCCAGAAACCAACGCAGAGATGGGATGAGATAGCACCCACACATCTTTCCCATACAGTTAGCTCTACAATTTAAATGATACCAGCTGCCAAACATTATTGTATTATAATTAATATTATAAAGCAGGAGGGTCTAATATGCTTTCATAATAAAGAACAAAATAAACAATTATTATTGTGCTTAAAGATGACTTTTGTCTTGATCCATTTTTAAGTTTCTTGTTTTATTTAAAATGTCTTCTGTCTGTATTTCCTGTGTTTTCCTGTTTGATTTATTGTCTGTCTTGGACTTATTCGTTTCCATGCTTTAATGTTCAAAAAGGTATTTTTTATATAAACAGCGATATACAGTATCTCACACTACTGGAAGTCCAGAAAGCATTAAAGGGCCATTTAAATCCTGTTTATTTGTTTTGTCGTATCCTTCTATTTCTTTATTTGTCGTACATCGGAACATTTCTCTTCTGTTTTGCCTGGTTTTCTTAAAATTAAAGCAATTTTCTGTTGTATGTTAATGCCTCCTACCCTGCTCCACTTTCCATGACAACCTTTCCTGGAGTTTTATATCCCTACCTGTCCAGAGTGAGCAGTAAGGTCTCGTTGACTTCTGGGATGTTGTCGGCCATGATGGTGAAGTTGATGGAGGCATCGCTCTGCCCGGAGAGGAAGACCACAGAGCCGCTCAGAGGCTCCAGGTCCTTCACAGTTATATCCGCACGGTTGTCTCCGATTGGCTGAAGACTCCAGAAGACTTCAGCCTGACCGTCTGTCCCGTCACGACGCAGGGGAAGGCTTACCTGCAGCACCAAAGACATGGTCACCAAAGATATTATGGGAAAGGTTTTGACCAAATGATACTGATGTAGATCCCCAACAATTAAACTATACTATGAACCAAATGTAACTCCGTAAAGTTAAATCAAATCATCTTACAAATTAGTCATATGCAGTTTTAGGGTTAGGTTTATGGAAAGTCATAAGAGCCGTGTCAACTGATAGGGGGTCATATCTTACTGTGCTGGTATTGCGGTCCTCTGGTTCATAGACCACCACTGTGGTGTTACTTGTAAAGCCGATTTCCCCGTTAGCGATGTCAGGGGTGACAGTCAACGTCCGGTTTAGAGGTCCCCCAAACCTCGGGCTGTTTGAGTGAATCATAGGTCTGATATCAACCAGCTCCACAGTATTCAACTAGGAGAAACAGATGAAGAAACTCAATTATTGAAAGGCTCACATCGGTAGCATGTCCCTGTAATAAATCAAAATGTAGCTACTTCTTAACCAAGGTCATTTATGTCCTATTGCTTTTAAATACCTCGTCTTTGTTACATTCACGTAGGTGTGTGTAAAAGGGTTTGACTGACAGTTTGTGATGTTATTATGGTTCAGAATGTGAAGGAGGCTTTTCTTGTTCTTTTTTTTTGCTTGTTTGAGGAGCTAGGTGGTGTTGTTGCTTTGGACAGTCGGGAAAATCCCATAGCAACATGCCAGATTTAAGTGCCAGTGTCAAACCATTCACACATGCAAATGAGGCACTTAAAGCTTGGATGGCACTGATTTAGCCATTAAGTGGAAAAACAAACATAAAGGGCACATCTTTGCCTGGTTGACAATAATAAATGATGTCATTAAAAGAGAAAACAAAGATATAGAAGCCAATACCTGTATGAGGAAATGAGCACCATTCTGCAGAAAGGCATCGTTCCTGATCGGCAGTATGACGTGCACCATCCGCTCGAGTGAAAACAGGACGTTAACAGTTTGGCTAACGTTCAGAACCCGGTCCCGGGATAGTGCTGGGTCTATCGGGCCTGCAGGGATGTAGAGGGCGGTGAGGGTCAAAGACACATTACCCAGTGTACCACCGTCACGCAGGAAGTGAAGCGACAGGAAGCGGCCCTCAGGTTGGCTCTGGATGCTTTGCTCTTTGGCCGGGTCGAACCGAAAGAGCCCGTAGACATCGTCACTGTCCTGGATGTAGAACACCATCTGTTGGGCAGAGCGGAGGGAAATCAGAACAAAGAGTAGAAAGGAAAACAACAAATTGGCAAAAGAAAAAAGAAATAGGCATATCATATGTTACATTCAAACTGAGAGAATGAATAAAAACACATTGTCAGTCTCTTGACCTTAACCTTGCCACTTATTGAAGTTGAAGAAAAAGATTATTCTTTATTGATCCCCTACTTGTTTCCCCCTGTTTTGAATTTACACAGAACAGTACCAATACACACATGCATCAGAATACAGGTATGCAAAGCTGGAGTTTATGTGGCTTGCTCAAGGGCACCTTGGCAGTGCCCAGGAGGTGACTCGGCACTTCTCTAGCTACGAGTCCACACACCGTATTTATTTGGTCGGATTATGACTTGAACCAAGTTCCTACTGACTGAGCCACTGCCTCAAATTTTCCCTCTTTTGTGTCTGACATTTCCACCCAACAACATCTCCATCAAATGCATGCCAGGATTGAAGCCAAAAAAACAAGTTAATGTTTAAATTGAGCAAAAAATAGCTTCACTTCAAAAGTTTTCTTACAGTAGATGCAGTGAGGAGGAAGGTGATATATATTTAGGGTGTCAGGGGATAATTGCCATGAAGCCCACATTTACCAATAATTACTCTGGATGATTTTGTTGTGCATCCTGTTGTTGTGTAACCAAGACTGTATCAGCAAAAGAAGAAAGTAGAGGTGAGGAACAGAGAAAGGAAAGAAAATAAGTGAGACTTAACGTAGTAAAAATAAAGAGCCCTGAGCTAACTTTAGAGAAGCATCCTCTTTAATTAACTCTGCTAAGATGGATAGAGTAGCTTTTATGAGCATTTAAACTCAGGCTCATTCATTTCCATGCAACCTACACTTGGCTGATGCTTTGCCTGGCGTGCTCACGATAGCCGATTTACAGCTCAGTGTAATGTCGGTTAAATATCTTAGAGTTAATTTCAATTAACACTGATTAACTTGTCCCTCTGTTAAAATCCTCAAGGTATTTTCTGTTGAGTCAACTCTTTGTGCACAGGTGGTAAACAGACCCCACCACTTCAACACGTGAGGTGGTGATCTGGTGTGTGTTTGCACGTGACTGATGCAGAGTTTGTGCACGTCTCATCCCCTGCCTTCAATATAAACACGGCTTAGATCTGCCCACTGCTTTAACACATGGCCAAGAGGCTTGGACAAAGATGGAAGCTATAAAAAACCTGTCGCCACTTTTGCCCACGCTTTCTAAAAAAGAACACACACACACACACACACACACACACACACACACACACACACACACACACACACACACACACACACACACACACAGAGGGCCTGCTGTTTTCGCTTTGTTTTGATTCAGCCACATTAAGGGAACACCCACAGAGCAAAGTGACACACTATAAGAGTTTGACTTTTGAAGTATGTGCCAAGTTTGCCACTGTACTTACAGTAGGTCACACATAAGCATTCACACATGCACAACATATGGAGGATGTGTTCGGGAACAAGTGCAGCATTATGTTGCTCCCTGTTACAAACACATAGTAACACAATAAATAAACTAAATTCATGTAACGGGATTCTTTTATCAGGATACAAAAAAAGGTAACTTTAGAAAAATCGGATTACTGGTTCAGGGTTACGCATTAATACACTTATTTCTATACAGTAGAAGATAGTATACAGAGTACATACGAGCATAAGCTGTTTCTTCTGTTGAACATTGAGTTTGAATCCGACACAGGTCGTCCCACCTGTCTCCCCCTTTCAGCCCTGTCTCTCAAATAAAAGCACTGTTGACTCACTGTCTTCATTGAAGAGACAGAGGAATTGGCATATCAAAGATCTCCCCGACACTGACCTCCATTGGTTCGTCGACTTCCACATTTCCTGTCGTAGTGTTGCGCAGCAGCTTGAGGAGGAAAGCCTCTGCTTCTTCAGGCAGACCATCCCCCACAATGTCGAGAGGAATCACAGCCGTCACCTGGCCGGCAGCGAATCTCACCGTCCCCGCTGCAGGCGTCAAATCATCTGAAACTGGGGAGGGGTCGCTGGAGTTTCTAGAGATGGACCAGTTTGCAGACACGGCCCCATAGCTGCCTCCATTTCTAACAATAATGATCCCTTCAAATCTAGAGGGAATGATAGAAGATGGTTAAAGATGTAACAATCTTGGATGTTGTTTCAATATGATACAACGCAAAGCAAATGTCGTCAGAGTAAGACACATTTCATTTGTAAGGTATCCACCTCTGTGTCAGGTCTTCATTGATGGTGATTGGCTGAATGGCTGCACTGCTGCTGATTGACAGGACACCGTTAGGCTTGTCATTGGGCTCGATGGTCACTAGCACAGCATTGGGTGAAACCAGCACAGCGTCTCCTCTGATGCTTTCTTCCAGCAGCACCAGATGGAAGGACTCTGCGATTTCTGGCACGGCGTCATCAGTGATTTTGAACAGCAGGCTGGCAGTGAAGACAAACGGGGGGAATGTCACCGTTCTGACGGGCTGCAGGTCGAGGAAATCCACATCTGGTGACGCGCTGCCCTGCCCTCCACCGCTCACCACCATGTAATCCACAGAGACCTGAAGACAGAATAGTCCAAATTATTCAAAGTCAAAGTCAACTTGATTGTCAATCTTTCAGTTCACACACACACACACACACACACACACAGA